TATGAGAATGACACAACATAGATCAGCTATCAGAACATCTAAGCTTGATCAACCAGTAGCCGAACATTTCAATTTAGCTGGTCATTCAGTTTCAAATTTCAGAGTGATTGCAATTGACCATAATGCCAGTTTGAGCTACAAAAATCTCAAAGATAAAGAGAATCACTTGGAACTTTTACTTAAAACAACCACAACATTTGGACTCAATATTAGGAACGTTCTCCCAGTACAATGGTATTTCAATTTATTCCTTATAAATCATTTGGCTTATTTATTGAGGCTTGCCTCTAAAGTTTAGTTTTGGCCTTCCTGTTTACTGGTTTAGGCTGTTTATTCTAATCTCACCCAGCCTATTGTTTCCAATCATGCTTGCATGAAATTCTCACTCTATACCATCTAGCTTTTTCTACCCTCACTCATTCGCCACTGAGGAAGGACTAGTGTTGTCCGAAAGCTCTGGTTCTATTTCTGGCTGTTTACTTACGTCTACTTTTTAGCTGTTGCTTATCATTTTTGTATCTCTACTGAGACTCAGCCATTGTTTCCCACAGCATTGTTGTTTTTCAGTATTTTGCCTTTTAATCTATATATCATTTTCTACTGTTTGTATCATTTTGATCCAACTCTGCTGTAATTCTGGAGGGTACTTTGGACAATTTCAAATTTCTACGACGCTCGTCGGAAAAACGTGTCAGGTATCGTAACCATCTTATTATTTATCTTGAACATCGTTCTAACAATTCGGTTCCTAAAGGACTACAATTTCATTCAACAATACGTTCCTAAAGGTCTGGTATTCCATTCGCAGATCGTGACTTCCATTCCCGCTGGAATGGCGTCCTTAAAAAAAACGCATGTCGATTAAATGAGGTCCTAATTGGCAACTGCCGCAAACTCCTCAAAGACATCGACAACCAAATTCACTTTAGGACTACAAGGCTAAAAAGAGACCTTCCTATATCTGAGTTTCAAAACAAACTCAAGATTATTGCCAAGGATTGCCTTAAGCTTTCCAAGGAACTTTCTCTGAGGAGTCAACACAAATTTGGTCGAGACAATATCACTTCAACACAAGTGATCCAACCTTCGCCCAATGTTTGGCTTTCACGTAAACCTAGAAGGTTCATTCGGCGCTTCAATGATAATCCGTGCAACACCACGGATTCAGTTGTTCAAATTAACTGTCAGCTTTCCGAAGGAGAAACCAAATTTCTATCCCGAGGACTCAAATTTTGCCCAAAACCGGCAGGCTGACCCACAACAACTATCTTTGGATCTGGAAGCTTTCTTCCGACGTTTAAGATGCCGTGAATTTTTTTGCCGATTCCGACGGCAACACCACGAATAACATGGGCAATGTTACTAAATTCAAACCTAAAAGTACATGGAATCCCCCTAAGAATGGTTGCCCAGCTTTAGAAACTTTCATTCAGGCCATTGAGGAGGACGTTAAAAACCACACTCCTAGTCCCGATTTCCGCGACAATCTCACAAAAAATGAGAGGCAGGCCATCGCCAATTTGCGTCAGCGTGATGATATTATCATCAAACCAGCTGATAAAGGCTCTGCCACTGTCGTAATGGACACTAAATTCTATGAAGAACAATCTAAACAATCCTCTTCACTATCGGAAGCTCACAGAGGACCCCACTCCGGAAATTTCTAAGGAAGTGGAAAAATCTGTATTAAAGATGGTTAAAAAAGGTTCCATCGATCCCAAAATTGGACCCCATCTCATCCAGGTCGATCCGGCACCAGGACGTTTCTATGTCCTACCCAAAATCCACAAAGCAGGCCATCCTGGCAGACCCATTATTTCGGGCAACGGTACTGCTACAGAAAAAATC